GCAATTTCACATTACGTCTTGACAAACGGAGGAAACTTTTAGTTTATTGTTTATCAGAATGCCAAATCGTAAAATGACTGCTTCACGACTGATTTGAGCGCGAAAACCGCTGTAAGAGTTCGAAAAGTGAGTTACAGAATCGCAAGGCTGATGTCTTAGGCCACATAAACAAATAATTTTATTTTAAGAATCGGCGTACAGTACATAGACTTTAAAAATTATCTCTCAAGTCTTCTGCCGTTTGTATGAACCTATCTCAAGATGTTATCTCGCTTTCATATAAAAATATATTATTAACTCGCTGTGTCAACAGCTATGAATTGTCATTCAAAATCTCTGTAGAGAACATTGCAGTTGAAAGAAGCTATCTCCCCTCAACGTCCGCTTTTCATCGTTTTTGTTCAAAGGAAGTCTTTTCCTCAAAACAAATTGTTTGTTTTTCAAACGGTTGCTTGCATTGTTCGGTTGTTCTCCATTATTTCTTATCTGAAACAAATTGACAATAAATAAAAGATTTGTTATCTTTAAGTAAAATTATTATATCAACAACCTTTATAGTAATTCTAACACTTAAATTAATGGTGTGTAGCCATAACAACAAGAAGACACAAGTTTGCGCGTTTTCCGCTAAAAAACACCCTTTGTCGCTACAAAGCCACAGCCACAGCCAGCATTGGAATACTTGGCGTTGACATATCGAATGACGTTCAGTTTCGCGGTCACTTGGAGGGAAAGGCTAAATTAGCCTCCAAAAAGCTTGGTGTGCTCAGCAAGGCGAGGCGGTGCTTCACTCCGGGCCACCGCATGCAACTATATAAAGCGCAAATTTGGCCCCACATGGAGTACTGCTCTCACCTCTGGGCGGGGGCTCCCCAGTACCAGCTCCTTCCACTTCAGAGCGGTTCGAATCGTCGATGACCAATCCCTCTCCGAGCGGCTTGATCCTTTGGCGTTGCGTAGAGATGTGGGGTCACTCTGCATCTTCTACCGCATTTACCACGGAGAGTATTCAGAGGAGTTGTTCGGATTAATACCTGTAGCTGAGTTTCATCATCGGACGTCGAGACAGAATACGAAATTCCACCCGTATCACCTCGACGTCCGCCGTTCCACAACTGAGCGTTTTTCAAGGCAGTTTTTGCCGCGCACCACCACTATGTGGAACCAGCTGCCCACTGAAGTATTTCCGAACCAATTCGACTTAGGGTCCTTCAAGAAAAGAGCGTACAAACTTCTCGATTCAGCTCATTAACATTATGATACTTTTACTTTTATTTTAAATAATATAAGAAACAACGTATATATTAAAACAGTCGAATCCAAGCAGTCATAGCGAACTTTTTGAAGTAACTAATAACGAAACGATAAAAAACGTTTATTATTAGTTATAGAAGGGATTCATAATACATATAATTCTACAATACTTTATGAAATATGTTCTGCCTCATAGTAAACCAATTGACTTATCATGTAGTAGAGAAACCGTCTATTTTCTCTTTCTTGACGTTATCATTACAAGGATTTATTAAAAAATATAAAATCTGGCCTTTGAAAGCTACATCTAATTTTATCTAGGTAGCGATTATTGGTTTCATTAAACTATAAACGAGTCTAACTATTAGGATTTAAAACTAATTAATGCCAACTACAGAGAATCGCCGCAAAGGCTTTGACAGTTTTACATTAATCTAGGATAATCCTTCGGCAACTTTTCTCTATGGAAACTCTATGGTCTAACAAATTTTGTTTATAATTGTGGGGTATCACGCGTTTACTAATTTATAAAGGACATTTATTATTATTATTTTTTTAATCCATATAAAACTACTTAAACTAATTAAAATTTTACTCTTCAAAAAAATCCATAATATTATTATATCTATTTGTTGTATTATGTTCTCTTTATTTCTTTTAAATTGCATGTGTGCCATAAGGTGTAAATAAATAAATTATTGAAAAAAATCTTCAGGCGTATTATAAACAATTCATTTGTAACTTGTGAGATAGATAATATTATATTATTGTATAATGAGCTTATTTACCTACGAATGCCAACAGTACTAGTTACAATGGTCCAATTACATATCTTATTTTATTTCAACGTGAGTGCTGAAAAATATAAATTTATCAAAAAAATATCGATATACAAACGCATAAAATAATAATCATTATTTGACTTGGTGTTACAAAAAAATACTATCTTAAATATTACATTAGTACTACGACTATATAAAGCACAGCTTTCAAAATAATATTAAATAGTCACTGAATTTTTTATATAATAATTAAACGTTAATTGTTTTTTACTCTTGAGATAGGGTAGAGCGGGGCTAGTTGAGCATAGGGGCAAGTTGGGCAATCGAAATATCTCGGAAACTATTCACCTTACGCGGGAGTATCAAATAGCGAAAAGAAGGAGTGGTAGGAGAGGTAATCATCGCACGATAGCTAGTGGCAGCTCGACGAGTGAGTGAAGTGTCACGGCGTTTTGTTTATTTTGTGACCAAAAAGTAAAAACATTGTTTATCGCAAGTTTTCGTCTGTCTTTGTCAAATGTTCTCTGTTTTCAATCAGGAGAGTGTTAATCTTTCAGAAGATTATTGTATTTTTGATTTGTAAATAGGTTTTGGGTCTAATTCTAGGCATTTATTTACAATCCTACTTTTCTTTTAAAATTCCGGGTTGGGGTAAGTTGAGCAACTACAGCTCAACTAACTCTACGACTTAAACAACTGATGAGTAATGAATCTTTTATTTTTTGTTTGGATGCGGACTTACAAGAGGAAGACTACGAGATGTTCTTACACTACTGAATACTTAAATAATGCTGCAAACTGCAAAGGCTGTCCACGATGAGGGAAAAAGTGTGAATACCGCCGCTAAAGAATTCGGAATTGGTTGACTTTTAAATAAATTAAATGAAGGTGATGATTCATTTATGGGCTATACAACACCGAGGGAAGTATATCCTGTCTCACAAGAGAACTGTTGAAAAAATTCTTGCTGCAAATGGCATTTTTCTCCAAAAGACGTCCGTCGCCTTGCCTAAGAGTGTGCTGAAATTCCACCAAGCTGAATTGCAAAAAAGATTTCCGGAAAAGAATGGTTGATGATGTTTTAAAAACAAAAAAATCGTAGCTATCCATACAGAAACCAGAACCTACCAGCCTTGGTAATCTTTTTTTAGAAATTATCGGAAGTAATGGATAGATATGGATGCTCATGTTTTGTTGATTCTAGTTTCGGTTAATTATATACAAAGAAAATTTCTTTAAATTTTGTTGTTCTGTCAATAAAAGACTATAAATAAAAAGCTGACTGTCTAACACATATTTTATTTCATCTCAAGTTAACATAGAACCCATGGTTTGGCCTAGACATTCTTAGTGCTCAACTTGCCCCATACCCTTGCTCAACTTACCCCACCTATGGGGTACATTGAGCATACTTGACTTTCTGCATTTAAACATCTGTAGCTATTATATTGGACTTGTTACAAAAAAATACTATGGACACTTTTGTTAAGGGATAAATTACTAATCCATCAGGACACATAACAACTCATTGAGACTTATCATTGAGGAGCTATATCCAAGCAAGTGAAAAATTGCTCAACTAGCCCCGCCCTACCTAGTAGAAAAATTGCGAGGTCAAGCAAAATAAAAATTACTTGAACGCAGGTTCAAGTAATTCTTTGATCTCAATCTACCAATTTCCTTTCGAATCAGCATATAAATTAGATAATGTAGTTTTAGAAGATATCTCACCGATTCCAGAGCTTATGCAAATTAGTTGAGTTTTTCTTTGTTTTCACAAAAACCGTTTTAACTTGATCCCGGACTAATATTGCGAAGAAACTGTTGTTAGTGCTGGAATAGACGCTGTCTGAAAAAGCAATTTAAACTGTTCTACAGTAACATTCTGGAACAAGGTATAAGCTTAATAAAAATCTAGAATCTATAACATTTCCACAGCGTCCTTTATCATAACCCCCAAAAGAACAACTCTTTGGGCAAATGCTGGATCAACAGTCTGTTCTTAGAGACTCAAAAGTACTTTTACATTACTCGAAAACAAACTCAGTTAATACAGGTTTACAACAAAGTATGCCGAAGCCAATAAAAACAATATTTTTAATAAATAGTTAATTAATATTACTTAATATATATTTATTCATGCACCCAAACCTCATTAGGATCTATGCTTATAATATGAGAGAAACATCGATGTGATAAGCATTTGGTGTTGTGCTTAGGTCTTGGGTGTTTAAAATATGTATTTATATGTCTATCTATGTATAATATGTATGTATATCCGTTGCCTAATAACACAAGCTTCACCAGCTTAACCAGCTTAACATGGGACTAGGTCAATTGGTGTGAATTGTCCAATCTAAAAAAAATATATATATATATATATATATATATATATATATATATATGATAATGTCATAGGAACATACAAACAACCTAAAAAAAATACTTATCGTGTTCATAGAAAATCATATTCTATTAATCTGCTTATAACTTGAACCTTTATAAAATTTAAAAAGTAGGAAGTACTGTGTGACACAAAGAAAGTCGTACGACGTGTACATAATAAATCTTGTGAGTCAAGTAAATAACTTGACTGTTTGATTTCATTTAGTGTCGCTTTGACGTTTCAATTTCAGACTTGTGAAACATTTGATACCAGTATTAGTTTGCTCTTAACATTGTAGAATTATTAGTGTTACTTTGTAAATTGTTCCCGTAAAATGTAGAAGTTAAGTAGACCGCTGCGCAAACAGCTTTTCATTTTCAGTAAATGCGTTTTGTTTGCTTCAAGGCCCATTTATTAATTTCTCATATGATATTGATTAATACACTATGGAATATAGAATCGGAAAATTTTGGTTTTGACTACTATTTCAGAATCACAATTCTTCTTTTTTTGTGCTACTGTGGTTCTCTGGAAGATCTCTTGATAGCGATAAGGCCACCCGTTGTATTATGTAATCCTTAATTTTTGTGTGTTTCTCTGTCAAAAGCGAGTCGCGTCCGGGGGAAGCTCCTTCTGGAACCTTCCAGGACATCGTCCCCGTGCTTGTCGTTGAGGTCCCAACCAATAAAATCGAAGATCCCAGCCCATACAGGGTCCTGAGATCGCTTTCTAGGATGTCCTTAGAGGAAAGGAGGTACACTGTCGCGTTAATAAATAATCAGTTGATTACGGGTCATAGCTACGCGTAACACAGAGCATTCTATTTTGGTTAGGGACGGCGGGTCTAGCGGCGAGCAGTGGAGCGCACGTCTATAATAGATTATCGTTCCGCCTTTCGTCGAGGGACGGTCTTTTTTGACCGCGAGGTAGTTCGCGATACTAGATGCTCGAACGCTGGGCTTGAGAAACGATTCCTGTTATATGTTAAATGTCTATCTAGTGGTGAACGAGGAAATCTCAGACCGACTTTGTGATAAACAAGTTTCGTGATATTTCGTGTACTCGTTCCGCGACCGATCCCGAATTGACTACAGAGTTAAACGGCAGTCATAGGAACGAGTGTCAAAGATTATGTTAATATAGATTTTTTTTAAGTATCAAAGATTTAAATTATAATAAATTACTTTTTATAATAAAAATGTTTCTATATTCATCATCAGACTATAGAGCCAACGCCATTGCTCTGACATACAATTTATGATTTGAATATTTCTACATTAATCTATTAATATTGTTATTTTTTCTTTAGATTTTACTTTATTTTATTTTAGTTATAGTAACGTGTAATGTTGAGTTTTTTTTTTTGTTAATTATTTTTGATTTCTTGTACTCTACACCTTTAATTTTCATTGTTCTACATTAGGGTTGCCTGGAATAAATCGCTTGTTAGCGATAAGGCCGCCCGTTGCCTTATAAATTTTTTAACCTGCTTTTTTGTTTTTGTTATGTGTATGTTTTTGAATAAGGTAATAAAGTAAAAATAAATAATATAAAAATAGTACTGGTTTTAGATACCCGGCAAAAATAATGAAAGTTATATTTCAGTAAAATCACAGATGTGACACCGAAACGCAGCAAGACGTAATGCATTCGTAGAATATTAATTATTCAACTCCGTGGCATAGTATCTGTCGAAAAGCTGACACATTAACATACTATCAAGACATCATGGCCTTCCTAACTTTATGTAATAAATGGCCCAATTTCTGCATATGTTAACATTGTTTTAGCATATATTATAGACTGATAATTGAGGATAAATACAATTACATTACATAGAAAAAAATCCATCGGTGCACACCTGCGGCTTGATCGTATAACTCGTTCTGTAACGAAATGGGGCATACAAATTAACCCAAAAAAAGCGTAGCAGTTCTCTTCGATAGAGGTAACTCTGGTGTCCTCGCTTAGAGTCGAGATAAATTTCACCGCAAAAAAGAAGTGACTACGGGCAAACCATCCCGTGGCAATAGTCCGTCTAATATCTAGGCGTCGTCTGCCACTCGACAGTGGCATGCCCATTGCCGAAGCAAACACATAAAGGCGACTGGTGAGCCCGCCTACGCGAGAAACATCGATCTCCACCACGACCTGGAGCTACATACTATAGTCCAATGGATGAATCAGATTAGGGTAAATAACCTGCTTCACCGGAAGGCGAGGTCACTTACTTTGTACTTCACTCACTCCACTGAGCTTCCGGCGATTGAACACCCCGCGATAGCTCCAGCTGAGGTCCGAGTCTAGCAGAAGACGCTCCTACGCTAGTCGCGGGAAAAGCCAAATTCCGGTCGAGCTTCGCTCGCCTAAGTCCGAGCCGTCCGAACAATCCGAGCTGAGCTGTAAAGACTGAGGTGTCGGGTGCGGACGTTCCATAATTTGCTGATAGTGACAATATCTAAGACTATAACGGAGTTTAAATAAGTAAACTGAGTGAAATATTGTTTTAAGTGATTATCTTTGTACCTATTGGTTATAAATTTGTATTTTTTAAAATTATATCTCTTCTGATTTTAAACAATAGTATGTAAATTCTGAGCACTTAACTGAATTTGTCTCAGGTATACTGGTTCGAATTGAATTTTTTATTGTGTGTAAAGACTACTTATTGGAATGCTTATGTAATATGATTAAATAATATTTGGGGTAACATCATGCTTTTTAAATCTACGGATCACAGCATTTTGAAAAGGAAAAAAAAATAGGGCCCAACTCAGATTTAAGTTGCTATCGCGAGCAACACTGATTTTCAATGGGCCCATTTTTTTTTTATAGAACAGGGCAGGAGGCTCACCTGATGGTAATGTGAAGTGATACCGCCGCCCATGGACATTGTCAATGCCAGAGGGCTCGCGAGTGCGTTGCCGGCCTTTTAAGAATTGGTACGCTCTTTTCTTGAAGGACCCTAAGTGGAATTGGTTCGGAAATACTTCAGTGGGCAGCTGGTTCCATAAAGTGGTGGTGCGCGGCAAAAACTGCCTTGAAAAACGCTCAGTTGTGGAACGGCGGTCGTCGAGGCGATACGGGAGGAATTTCGTATTCTGCCTCGACGTCCGATGATGAAACTCAGCTGCAGGTATTAATCCGAACAACTCCTCTGAACACTCTCCACTCTATCTTGGAGTCGAGAATTTATAAGATTATATTTTAATGTGGTGGTTTTAAGCAACATATCTGTTCTTAACAACTCTTGTAGAGAAGTCGAGACCTTAGGTAGAACAATGTGAACATTCTCATCATCCATTGACTTGGGTAAAAAACGGACACCCAGTGCGGCACAAAAAGGCACACACAATTCAGTTGAATTGTGTGTGCCTCTTTGTTGCAGCAGCAGCAGCAGATCAGCAGTTGCTGATCATGATGTCTTGGCCAATATGTACTGTCACTATAAAACTCTATTATGAAATTCATATTCTAAATAGATAAACTTAAATTGTAATTGTATTTGTAAAGGATTTCTAAGCAACTGAAATCCATCAATTATTCTGCAAAGAGAAAAGCACTTTTTGCATTAAAAATTTAAGTTTTAAATGGAAATAAAATTAGATTTAGAGAATTCATAATTACCTTTTAAGGATTCTATGCAGCTTTAAATCTATCTCGAATTAAAATACGCTTTCTGCCTTTTGTTTTTTAGGAAAAACTGTGTTATATTTTGAAGGTGAAGTGACTCACTGGGTGTTTGCTTGATAGTTTCTCCTGTAGGCATTTCTTTTTACCGTAAAGTCATCAAACATTGGAATTGCTAGAGACTTAGGTATTTATAATAACATTTTGATACAAGTATAGGATGAAAATAACTTATTTAAGGAAAACTTACAAAGCATTTTTAAAATCCAAATTATACGCTATGAAAATATAATATCGCAATAATGTTTCATAAAACTTTAATAAGACATCTGAAACTTTCAAGAATCAAATTATCTTTTGGTGAAAATTATAAAACAAACCGTTTAGAAGCTTTGAGTTTATCGCGTGTATACAGCCACCAGCATGGATTTCATTTTATAATAATATGTATATTTATATACAGTAGTGTTTAGTCACTATCAAAAAAAAAGGTTGTATTTAAATAGACAATAAAACAAATATAAATGTGAGTGCATGTTATTTAATTAAAGGTTACGTGAACTAATAAAAAATATAATTTTTTTTTTTTTAAAAGCCCTTAATTTTTATAGTTAAAAGACTTAACGGGATAGCACACACGGGAAAGGTGCACCCTTTAAAAAAAATGTCAGTAAATCAGAAATTGTCAGGCCGCAAGGAAGTTATGAAACTTTTTCAATAAAATACGATGGATTATACAATATGAACCGAAGGCTGTGTAGTGCACCTCATTAAGGAACTTATGATTAAATTCAAAGCTCATAAAAGAACAAAGAATTCCCAGAATATAAATCATAGTTACAATTATAATTAATTTTATTGCGCGAACATAACTGTTTTTGTTATTAATGCCCGGCCGTTTCCTTCGTCGGAATTTTCCTTTTCCCGTTTTCAATATATTTGTCTTATATAAAAAACAGGTTAAATAGTATAATTATCGTTTGGTTCATATAGATTTTATATTCATATTATACATATATAAATATTGCTAATATTATAATATTATTATTAAAAAAAACGCGAGTCCAAGAAACTTACCTTAGATCCAATATGTCGGCTTGTGTCAGGCCCAGAAGACTGATGTAGGTAAGTTAGTATTAGAGAATCTGAAGTCAAGACCAAGGGTCGTAGGGCAACTAGGTTTTTTTTTGTTTTAATATATTTAAAAGAATCATAAGAATCACTTAAAAGTCATTTTTTTACCCTTTTACGGGTTTATATATGTTTAATGCTACATAATGAAGATCATTATGAATCATGAAAGTTGTTCGTGACCACATCACACATGTGATGGCAAAACTTTTAATGTTCCGTCTCAACTTCGTGAAGGAAACAATGTGATATTTCCCGCATTTACTGTGTTACTTGATACTGAATTTATTTATTTAAAAACAGTTTGTGGCAGTTTTTTTTTTCATGTATTTATTTCACCTTTTAAAACAAATAGTTTAAGACGTTTTTATAAATTGAATACATTGGTTCAAAATCATAGTTTAAAACCCATATGAATTATTGTTATTGTAAATGATCTTAATCATGGTAATTGTCGTTCCTCAGTTTGTTTGTAGCACCCTTAGTTGTTTTTTTTTTGTAATAGGAGGCGAACGGGTATGAGGCTCACCTGATGTTAAGTGATACCGCCGCTCATGGACACTCACATTGCCAGAAGCCTCGTAAGTGCGTTGCCGGCCTTTTAAGACTTGGTACTCTCTTTTCTTGAAGGACCCTTAGTCGAATTGGTTCGGACACGCTTCATTGGGCAGCTGGTTCCACATAGTGGTGGTGCGCGGCAAAACTGCCTTAAGAAACGCCCAGTTGTGAGGCGACGGACGTCGAGGTAATACGGATGGTATTTTGTATTCTTTGTTTTTTGTTTGTACTATTAACAGACTAATATAATTTAAAGTACACAGAAGTTTATTTATTTAAATTTTTACATTTATACGCGTCCTTCAAAATACTGCCGAAAGCAAAACACGGATAGAAAACAATTACAAGGAGTATCGTGATAACGATCTACGACGTCGAAAGTGGAATTTTAAGTGTTTCGCTTTCTTTTGAGCTCCAAATGTCTTTGAGCCCCAAGTGAGATACTAGATTAAATATTTGTTGCGAAACTGTATTTTTTAACTACTTTTTGTATTGATTTACAACATGATCTTTTAGCACAAAACAAAACCTTCTACATTCACTAACAATCTTAAGCTGTTGAGATATTCAATCTGTCCTATGCTGAAACAGAAAGTATTCTTCTTGTGAAACACTAGTTTAGTAATAAATTGTAAGTCATAAGAATTCGTTAAGTCAAGTACCATAAATTGTTAGTTTCCAAATGGAATAGACTAGCTGCCCACGACAGAGGGAATCCTAGTGTGTGCACTTTCTTTTTTACATATTATATACATCATTTGACCGGGCAAACGTCGTTTTGCCATGTATATCATTTAAATAAAAAAATAGGGGTTGATCGTAGAGGGGTGAAAAATAGGGGTTGTATGTATTTTTTAATGCTGTATCATAAAAAATAAAAACAAAAAAAATATCTAAAAATTAAAACAAAATAATTTAGCGGTGGACTACCCTTAACATTTAGGGGGATGAAAAATAGATGTTGTCCGATTTTCAGACATACCCAATATGCATACAAAATTTCATGAGAATCGGTCGAGCCGTTTCGGAGGAGTTTAACTACAAACACCGCGACACGAGAATTTTATATATTAGATATACGAGGGGAGGTCCAAAAGTTCGTGGAATGAAAGGGTTTTAGTAAAAAGTGAAACAGTAAATTTATTTTTCCTTTTCAATATAATCACCCTTAAGCTGAATACATTTATTAGATCTATGAATTAATTTTTCTAAACCATCGTAAAAATATTTTTTATCTTTTCCCTCAAAATGAGCCAAAATTGCCTCCTTTACCTCATTGTCGTCGGAAAATTTCCTTCCCCTTAAGTCTTTTTTTAAATTGGGGAATCAATTTTTATTGTGTTATAAGTTTTTTCTTATTTTTTTATATACAGGTACTGGAAACCAAATTAATAAGAAACATATTTTAACCGCCATAAAATCCTTCTTCAGAGTTCAAGGTTTAAATCAAAATATATTACTCGAATTGTTCCGGCTGTCTACGAGTTTACGCTTAGCAACATATTCGATTCTTTTTATTTATATAGATAAAGAAATATTTAATCGAGAGCATTTCAATGACTGAAAATTTAACATAAATAAATGCAGCGACAACTATTATTCGTATTTATTCGGAAGTTCAAAATGTTTAAAGTATTGATCTTCCCGGCATAGTTTAAACGTGGTAGTTACAAAAGTGTTTTTAATTTATAATCATTAGTACAGGAAGCGTGAAATCACCACAAACGTATTTTTATGTTGATAAAATTTTTATTAAATTTAAAAAACGTACAAGAACATACTAGCCATTAAGCGTAGTCAAAACCGTTCTTGACGCGTTGACGCTAACCAAATTGCGTGTCGCGCTAAAAGCGTTTATCGTTCGCCGTCACTTAATTCCGTGAAAGCCTCCACAGGTGTTAATAATATCAGAAATAGGTCGTGACTGTAGAGTTTAGATAATAAAACGCGCGCTGGCGTGTGAAACACTTCAACCGGGATATTGATAAAATAAAATATATTATTTCACTTGACTTTAAATTCGCGCATATTTAATGCATTGCATTATACTTCTGTTATGAGTGGTACTAACCACTGAGGAATTACCTGTTTTGGCATTAATAGATGTTTCGTATTCGTGCATCTAACAGTTTCGTTTGAAGGAGCACAATATGTGGAGATTAGCTCAAAAAATTATTTCGGGGCACCACAGACAACTCATACTTGGTGATAAAGAAAAGTCAATCAAGCAGGAAACCGATGCTTACAATGCAATGACATTAGTACAGACTAGTGTCACTGGATGGATATGTATTTAAAAATTATTATCAAATAGGTATTCACTTAAATACCACAAGAGCTTCAAAATTATCGGGTATTTGTGGTTATTATCGGAAATGCCAGATAATTTTGAAGCTCGTGTGGTATTCGGGGATTATTTTTCCGACCCAAATCTCGGCCAATAGAATTGCACCATGAGACGAAATGTACAGTTAACAAATAAGAATTTCATAATGAATAAAACAACTTCTTAATACTTTTCTTGAAGTAATTTGGCAGTCTGATTCCACATTGTTTTTATTGTACCTTCCTTATAGTCTTCTCCATCCATTTTCTTCATATTGTAAGCGTAATCTTTCATAATGTTTGCCAATTGCGCTTCACTCGTTTCAGCACTCAATGTGTATTCCCTCTCAGTACAAAAAAGTAGTAAATTGGTTCCAAACTGTTTTTTTTGACTTCTCCGTATTAATGGGAACATTTCCTTTGACTTTTTTATCGATGGTGGACAGAGAACAAACTCCAAATCGACTCATTTTCATGCAAAATCTCCAATTTTACAATTGAATTCAACCTGTCAGTTTGACGTGTGGTTAATTTGACTGGATCATGTTGTTTTTTATATATAGCAACTACCAGAGGAAATTTTCAAAAAATTATCAGTATAATACCATGTAGGTTGTACCACGTGACGTCGAATGGTGCAATTCTATTGGTCGATATTTGGGTCGGAAAAATAATCACTTAAATTTTAAGTGAATATTTGATATTACTATCCTTATTACTTTAACTTTAATCCGGGAGTCCAACACAAAATGCCTTTTCATAGTGTATATTGTAGATAAGTGTATATTTTCTATACTAGACTTTTCATTATTTAAAAATTCTGTAACACAACCAAGTTATGTAAGTGCTCGAACGAGCAAAATATTCAATCTCAAAGGACAAGTCGTGTATGAGAATTTTTGCGAGCTCCAATGAAATTCCTCGCCAATCTTCAGGCGATGTCGCCGCAAACGTTTTGAATTTTTTAAAACGATTGTCTCTTTTAAAATCTCGAACAATTGTTTTGGCAAAGCCACTGTTTAAGAGGACTTATTGCTGAAAGTTTTTACCGTTTATGAACTTTGAAAAGCTTTTTTCGGTTTCTTTCATCGCTTCAGTACATTTTCTACAAGTCAATACAAAAGA